GTCTTCGTTGGAGGACAATGCCAGACATCAACATTATCATTAGTATATTTTTTAGATAACACAACAATAGAGGGGGCCCTCATTTGCGAATCTTCTGGCATGTCACTTGTAGAATACTTCAGATACCCCTTCATTTTGCAATACGTAACCCCCCTTTTAATATTGGAATTTTAAAGTCGATACTTCACCATCCATGGCACCTGTTTGTCGTTAATTGAACAATAACCATTCTCATAATAGACTAACTCGCATTGACAATCTACTGGGAAAATAAACCATGCCTGCAAACTGTCATTACCGTCTAACCTCCGATCATAAACATTTACTCTGACCAACCCACTAGCATTGGGTGCGCAAAGGGGGGAATATTTTATCAATATTTTATCAACCTTAATACTTTTTTGTTTGTATCTTAACCTCAATTGAGAAAATAAATTAGGCAACGCAAGTTCAATACAACTGAAATCACTTGCCGAAACACCTTCAACAACCCCAGTTTTTATATCGTCCACCTCCATTAACCTGAACATTAAAAATAAGAATACATCAAATTTATCATTCTAAACAGTTTTAAAGTACATTTGACTCCTTAAAGTAATTTTGCATTCCTTTCCACTAACAGTAGCAGCCACTAAATATATGGCACCCTTTTGAATGCTTCCAACATTTCCCAACAGCGTATTTTTGTAGTCCGTCCAAACATCAACTGGGATATCATGTGTTTTCTGAATATATCATTTCTTTATTATTCTTAAAAATCAATGATTGTTCATGAATATCAAGCGTATATCACCAATTGTTTTGAAAGTATAAAATATCAAGAAATGAATTCGAAAGTATATGTCATTTTTTTTTTTTTGGCAATATATTATATAACAAAAATGTTTGAGACCTGTAAATGAAAAACTCTAGAGAGAGCTCTAGAGGTAGACCCTACCTTATGATTTGATGTTTTGGTTTGTAATGTTGTATTTTTTATTTTATTTTATGCATTGCCACATCACTAGAGTTGGTATTAGAGTTCCAACTCTAATGCTCTCTATCATCACTCATTATATAAAAACCTTAATAACATCAGTTGTCAGCCTGTGAGCTAATTAAACTATATTCCTACCTACCTTACTAATGCAAATATAATCAAAATCCTTACAATAATTGCAAATATCATATACAATTGACATAATCTGCCAATCTAACTTTGTTCCTTTACTATTTAATATGCTAACCAACACTTGACAATCAGTTAGGAGATGTAGGCTGGTTTTCCCTGTGCTCCTTGCCCAACTTAAAGCTTCAAGGCATGCCATTGCTTCAGCCGCCGTCGGACTAGGGAGTTGATTGACAACCTGCGCCCTTTGGTGTACTATTTGACCATGTTGATCCATACAGAACCATGCTATCCCGTACTTGTATGACTGGCCTTCCAAGCTCCATCCATGATAATTTGCCAATTTGCTGTTGCTTCCTTGAGCTCCTTGGCCTGATACAAAACATAGTGATTAAGTTGCTTGTTCTCGACTAGGGCTCAGCTCAAGCTTGAGCTCGACTAATTTTTAATAAACAAGTTTGAATATTTAAAAGTTCAGATCGGCTTGACTCAACTCAACTCGTTTGCAACCCTACTAATGAGAAATAACAATTTAATTTGGTAATATTGTTTATGATTATTACAAATATCTTCTGAACTAACTAGAACACTCGTCAAATTATCATTACCATGTTCTTAGGAAAGCAAATAAGTACACCGATCTGCACAAGAAGGGCCACCAAATTTTCACTCATGTCACTTTATGTAGTAGCAATGAGCTTTTAAAAAATGTTAGGGGGAGTTTCTTAACCAGAGTGGTGTATTCTACCTTTTAATTATTTATTAATCAAGTTCCTTTTAATCACAAAGATAGAATAAAAAAATGTTATTAAAAAAATTATATTCATATAAATAAATTTATTTGTAATAATATTTTATTTTAAAATAAAAAAAGCCACAATAAACCGCATAATAATTATTGTGGAAATTTTAGGATAAAAAAAATTATGTATACGAATTTTTTAAAATAAAAAAAGCCACAATAAACTGCAAAATAAGCCACAATAATATAATTTTTTATTATGGAAGTGCTTTTAAGAATAAGTTTTTTTGGATTAAAATAACACTAAAAAAATAAAATAGACTAAAATAATTAATAAAATAAAAAATTACATTAAAATCATAATAATTATTATTATTATTTTTTTTTATAAACATCATATCTAATTATTCAAAATAAATTTAACCTTATTCTGAAACGCAACTATTAAAATAATCAACTTCCGAACCGGCCTGTGAATTTAACGTTTGGCGCCTTCAGTGTCCATGGTCTGCGCGCGCAAGCACTGATATACGTACATACAGTCCAGTGAGAGAGAGAGAGAGAGAGAGAGAGAGAGAGAAGAAAATAGAGTGTGACTACCAAACAAACAACCAAAGTCTACGATGGCGGAGGTAATCTCTCTCATGGACATCGACGACGACAACCACTCTCTCAAATCCAACAACAACCTCCGAAAAGCCACTCCATGGGTCGAAAAGTACCGCCCTCAATCCCTCTCCGACGTCGCAGCCCATCGAGACATCATCGACACCAGTTACTCTCCACCCTCCCTCTCTTTCTCAATTTCCTAGGGTTTACTATAATTTTATACGTATTTGTTTGTTTATGTACGTGGATTGATTCATATGTGCATTTCTTCGAACAGTTGATAGGCTAACTAGCGAGAACAGATTGCCCCATTTGTTACTCTACGGTCCTCCCGGCACCGGCAAGACCTCCACCATTCTCGCCGTGGCTCGCAAGCTATATGGGTCGCAGATGCACAACTTGGTTTTGGAATTGAATGCTTCCGATGAACGCGGAATCGATGTCGTCAGGCAACAGATTCAGGATTTTGCTAGCACTCAGAGCTTCTCATTTGGGTAAACCCTTTGTTCTGTATTTGTTTTTTTGTCCTGTGATTTTTGGGGGTTATGATATGGTGGTTGGACTTGGAATTCAATTGCTTGCCACGTGGTTGTCAAAATTTTTGACAATTTTTCTTGCTAATGAGATTGGGATTAATAATAGGAATGAAAAATAGCTGCGTTGATGTATGTTGGTAGTTTAGATAATTTGGTAGACAAACTTGAATGTATTTTAGGGCAACCTTCACTTTACCCCTTTGCCCCTCAGATTTGGAAATAATCACATTACACTGTAGTTCGTGGACTAAAGTGTTCAGTCAAACATTTTGTCCAAGTTAACAACAAATGTCAAACACGTGCGTGGACATAAAGGAATTTACATGTTTATATCCACATGTCAGGTGTAAATCACACATGGAGTGAAGCACAAGGGGCAAAATGCATTGTGAGTTTTAAAAAATGATGAAATTGCTGTGGTTACTTGGATACAAGGGTATGTTAGTCTTTTTTGTTCAAGTCGTACACCGAGTTATGTGCTTATTTTCAAATGTCAATGGTAATCTGCACACCACAAGGAGTTAAAGTGAAATTTGCCCTATCTTCTATTTCAATAATTAAGCAAAGCATTAGTATAGTCTGTATGATATTGTTGTGTCCAAAATGAGAGTAATGCTAATATCACTCTTATTTTGTTAGATTGAGGTAGTTTAATTTAACTCAATGAGTTGCTGGACAAGTTTGCATGAATTACATAAGAAATATGTTCTTTTTCTCAGTGCAAAAGCATCAGTGAAGTTGGTCTTATTGGATGAAGCTGATGCCATGACAAAGGATGCACAATTTGCCCTTCGTCGAGGTAAAAGCATATTTTATGTTTGTTTATTTTTCTGCTCCAAAATATGATCATATTTATTTTATGTTTGTTTATTTTTTCATACACCTAGTTTTCCATGTTCATGCTGCAGTGATTGAGAAGTACACAAAAAGCACTAGGTTTGCACTTATCTGTAATCATGTCAACAAGATTATTCCAGCTCTGCAATCAAGATGTACTCGTTTTCGGTTTGCTCCTCTTGATGCCATTAATGTCAGTGAGCGACTTAAACATGTTATTCAGGCTGAAAGGTGAGTTCCATACAACTTTTTTGGGGGCAAGCTTATTACCAAACAGTTAAACTGCCCCGTATATTGTAATGGAATCATTCTTAAGCAACATTGCTTTTTATTATTATTATTTTTTCTTTTATGCCAAATAAGCTATTCCTTGTTATAATGACTTGCAGCTGGTGTGGCATATGGCATTTGATGAGTGTTTTTTATTGCAAAAAGCTTTAATGCCACTTCTTGGATTATTCAGGAATCCATTTTGCACTGACCAATTGTGTTATGCTTGGGTTCCGACTTTTGTGTCTTTGGGGAATGGTCTCCCCTGTTTGGACTCCCATTTTGCTGATCAATCTAAGATATCGAGAATACTCACTTTAACAATGTCATGGCCATCAATTTTCAGTGTTTCCTTGTCGCACTTTGTTATATTTAGGTTCTTCAAGGGGTTATTTGATAGCCTAACTTAACAGAGCCTACTTGTCTTAAAAGAGGCTTGCTTGGGGTTTTTATTGCTTTTTTATGTGTGACAATTGCAATAATTTGAGCTCATCAACATGAGGAATAGCAGGTTACTTGGAAGGCTGCTATGTTATATTTTGCCTTGCTACCCTGAAAAATCAATAAGATGTGAAGCTATAGTTATCTTGATTTGGTTGTACTTCTGTAACTGGTGTTATTGATTAATACTATATGATTTTGCTGAACTAGGCTTGATGTACCTGAGTGTGGCTTAAAGGCACTTGTACGACTTAGCAATGGTGACATGAGAAAGGCTTTGAACATTTTACAGGTTTTAAAATCTTTTACTTCTTGCTTTTGTGTCTGTGTGAGTGCTTGTGTGTATGATTACTTCCAGTTTCACAAAAATGCAGATTGGAGAAATTATAAGTGGGTATGATTCTATAATTTCTCTATATTACTAAATTAACACCAGAACCAGATCAATAACTGCTTTGTATAAAATTTGAATAACTAAGATTCCCTTTCTTCCTTTTACCTCTTGACACCATGATTGTACTTTTCATATTCGTGGTATGATCAACTTATACCTCTATTCTTACACCCCTCCAGAATTTTTGTGTGATACACATTGCACAAAACACACCAATGGATTTCGTTTTTTCCAGTGACCCCAGTGCTTGCCAACTCTCAAAGTCAATCGGAAATCAAGTTCTAACTCATCCATATATCTTTAAATTAGAGTTCTATTGTGTGTAAGAAAATTCCAGTTACAAATTGTTGGGTATCAGTTGGATTCTTGATATAATTTAATTTCTCTGTATGAATAGATTATCAGAGGTTAAGTACTTGGTTGATTACTTGCTGTTTGATTTGATGTATGCAGTCAACACATATGGCTTCTCAGCAGATAACAGAAGAAGCTGTCTACTTGTGCACTGGAAATCCATTGCCCAAAGACATCGAACAAATATCTCACTGGCTTCTGAATGAATCATTTGCAGTTAGTTTTAGACGTATCCAACAAGCGTGTTTTAAGAATGCAAATCTTACAGTAATACAGTGCAACTATACATGGAATTTTGTTATTGCTTGTTTTCTCTTTTGGTTACTTAACAATCTTTAGGAATATCTGAAATGAAGACAAGGAAAGGATTAGCTTTGGTGGATATCGTAAGAGAAGTAACCATGTAAGTGCTCATATTTTGGTTGTTAACTAGGCTTGGTATTTGCATGATCTCATCTTTAAGGGATTGTATGAACAGGTTTGTCTTTAAGATCAAGATGCAATCAGGTGTTCGAGTTCAGCTAATCAATGACTTGGCTGATATTGAGTATGTAATCCATGCCTTCATTTTCTGGCTCTTTGACCTGATTACATTTCTTTTTATCCAAAATTAAAGAATTATTTTTAATTATTTCCCATTCAATGTGAGAGATTACCATGTAGGCATATTATATACTTCACTATACATATGTGGTAGTTACAGGATTGGTAGTTGAATAGTAGGTTCATCATCCTAAGTATTATTGATTGATATACCAAATTTTTACTCCATTAAAGTGTGGTTTGAAATCACTTTTCTTTTTTCTCTTCTTTTCTTTTCTTTTTCTATATAAATAAAACTGTGATACCAATAGGTCCTAATAGTTGGACACAATTCCCATCAAGTCCTATTGAAAATAAGATCTAGTACAATCGTAATTAAAAATAATTTTTTGTGGTGGTTTTTTGCATATCACTAAAAATTAACAATTAGTGATTTTTTTTGTCATGATTTTTATAAATTGTCACTAAAATGTATAATTAATTAGTGATTTTTTTTGTCATGATTTTTATAAATTGTCACTAAAATGTATAATTAGTAACTTTTTTTTGTGACAAATTTGTTAAACTATCATTGAAAGTTGAAAATTAGTGACTTTTTTGTGATATTTTTTTAAACTGTCGCTAAAACTTATAATTAGTTATATTTTTTGTGACAATTTTTAAACTTTCGCTGAAAATTAACAATTAGTGACATTTTTTAATAGTGTATGATGAAAAATGCTATTAATTATTATATTACTTATTGGACAATAAGTTTACTTAGTAGGACTTACACATAAATCCTCCAAAATTTATTCCTACACTAGTTTAATTTTGAATATTAAAAAAAACAAAAAAAAAAAACACAACGAAATCAGATCAAAGGCCCTCATTTTCTGTATGCCTTCTTTTTCATGGATCTTGCTATTAGATCTATTATAGTTAGCATTATTATATTTTAGTGACTCCAAAGGGTTAGCTATTACAATAGTTATTTTAACAAAATTATTCAATACTAACTACATTTGACGAGCTTTGGGAGGCTTTTTAAATAGTTTGTGTATAGATAGATGAAATAAAGAGTAGAGTTGGAGTACTTAGATAAAAAAAGGAATTAGGCAAAGTAAAGAATTACCATTTTTATATTTTAGTTAAAAATGAAAAGTATGGTTGGAGTTGTTTTAATGGTTGCGACATAGTAACAGATGCATTGTTAAACCAGTATAGAAGTGCACCATTTTATAGCAATCTGACAAACATACCTTGAAATACCTTTATTTTTATTTTAACTTGATCATCAAATTTAATTTTATCTTGGATTTGCAGATACAGGTTGAGTTTTGGATGCAACGATAAGTTGCAGCTTGGATCGCTCATTTCTACCTTTACACGGGCTCGATCTGCGCTGGTTGCAGCTGCAAAGTAGTAATTTATTGGATGTGAACTTGTTGCATTCCCTTGTCCTTTCTCTCCTTCAACTTTTCTCTTTTCTTTCTAAACGCATTGTAGCTTCAATTTATTTGATAATTGCTTGCTTCCAATCTGATATTGTCATTTTATTTTGTAACATAATTTAGCGCTTGACGGAGAAAATTTTATATTTGAGTGATGCCTTCCAGTCACTAGACCCTACCCCTGGATGTATATATATTGCTACTCTAAAATCTTGTAGTTGGTGGCTTCTCTTTGGGAGAAAACACATGCTAACTGGTTTATACCGGCCTGAACTTACACAACCCTACCTTCTTCTCTTTCAACATGTACTGGTTTCCCGTAACAAAGCAAAGCTCAGAAACAGGTCAATGGTACAAGTTCACCTAGATGTTTCCATATTTCCTAAGTCAGGGTTGATACACTATGCAAAATTAATTGGAACATGATTTCATTCTTTCTATTTTTTTCGCTGGAATTTTTATACAAAATCTTGCACTGGAATCATGCCAATGAATTTTTGCAGTCAAACAGTCGTAATGGTGTTCCTTTTTTGAAATGATGAGCTAACCACTAAGCTACATCAATTTGTATAAATTGTCTGGACGTTTTTTCCCTGCTGGTATAGGATTAGTTAACTATATCATACAACCAAAAGCTGAACTAATATACAATGTTGTTTTTCATTTTTAGGCGTCACCATTAGGATTATAACGATAGCAAGATTCCCAGTGAATGCGGTTTTTTCACTATTCACTGCAATCTATGAAGCATGGATACAGATATGGGTTTTTTCATATTTTCCGATCAAGACTTGAACTTTAACCAACAGGATTTGTTGGGCAGCTCAGATATTAAAACCCATATACCAAATGAGTTCCAATGGATAATAATAGTGCAATTTAAGACCAAGAAACTTTGAAAACAGGCAAGTCCTGGATGGTAACTTCATTGAGGCAAAACAATAGAAGAGCACAAGTGCAGCCCATGTACCTCCATTAGAGCCAGTGCACTTGGCGCAAAAAAGCTCAGTCCTAGCCATCCTCTTAACAATACACTTTCTCTAACGAGTTTAAAATAACTAGCACAACCTACTGACTGATATGTACAATTTACTTCTAGACAGCTATGACTTGAAAACCCTCTTCACATTTGACTTAGAAAGCATATATATATATATATATTCTCACAAATCTACAAAACTGAACTTTCAGAGGATATCACAAGCAAATCAAACTCCAACACCCCATTGGGATGGAATTATTCATTACTATTACTTTTTATTTGGCTGCATAGCTTTCCCGGGGTTGATTTCACTGCACTCACCTGCATGGTGTCTTATAAATTCATTCACAAAGTTCCATCAGATTCCCTGTTGGACCAGGTGATCTCAATTTCAAGTGTTCGGGAAGTCCCATCTTTATTGCTGTCATGGTTGAGGCTGACGAGTCCACTGTATACTCCTTCACTTACAACTTTGTCAATTTGGATCGTCACCCTACCGAGACTTTTCTGAAAAGAAAAAAAAAATATGCGCAATTACAACATTGAAAACTATGAACAGAAGGACCATTTAAAATTATCTCCAGAGTTTAGCAAAACCATCATTTTCAAAAAATAAAAACAAGGATTTAATCAAGTTGGGCACGGGGTACTGGTTTGGTTGTTGCGACAGCTGAATGAGGATTTGATCCGTTACACCAGTTGACGAGGACATTGAAAGTAAATGTATCACAATTCAATATAATTACCTTTCCGAAAGTACTTTTGCTTTTGCAAAGTATGTGTAACTTTTGTCCCTTTGGTGGTACATCAAATTCCCATGTAAATCCTTCTCTCCACTCTGGAGATGTACTGTTGCTCACTACCTGAAAGAATGGAAAGACCATTTTGCATGAAATGTAGCTGTATGTTGATAATAAGATCTATACTATATTCACTTCTTAGTATAGCATATAACATTTATGATTACCTCAACAGAATTAATATTTGCATGAAATAATAACCTCAAAAATCCCTAAATAGTCCTTTAATTAGATACAAAGATACATAACAAGTAATTTTTTTGAAATTGAGAAAATTGTTTGAGAGTACCATGGTTTTTGAGAAATGAAAAACTGCAATGTGCTTAATCTGCGAAAATTCTACAACTCATAAATGCTAATTACAAGGCATATCCAGCTGCTGGCACACATTTATAATGAACAAAATTTTTCCTAAAACCACTCCATTTGGTTTTGTTTTCAGAATCTGTTTTTGAAAAATTCAAAAACATTCATTATTTTCATATTGTTTTCCCTTTTTGTGCACAAAACCATTTTTGGCGTATATTTTTTTAGTGTTTTTCAGAACACGAAACCAAACAGAGCAATCTGAGGACATTATTTCATGCAAATATTAATTCTGTTGAGCTAATGATGCAGAATTAACCTAAACGATCAAGGCAAAGTACATAACAAATATTCAAACCCCACCCAATAAAAGAAAAATACTTTAAACAAACTATATCAGGTCCTTTATGTTAAACTCTTATTTGAATAATTCATTACCTTGGTTTGCCGTGGAGGCCCATTGCCTATCGTCAATTGACAGAAGGCATTTGTACCTCCCATGAGGTGCCTTAGGTTGTTTCCGCGTTTAATGGTAACAGTCAAACAACCTGGTAAGCAATGCAACAGGCTATCTGCTCTCTCATGGAAAATCGGCGGGCAGGTTCTAATTAGCAATTGAAGAGTGGGAATTGCTTCGGATGCAATGATGGATTGAGACTTTGAGATATCTATAGGCATGGTTGACCATGATTGTTTTAACAAGCATAAGGTGTCCAATGCAGAATCCTGAGCGGCTTCGCTCCCAGACTTTAGTGCTGCTACCAAATGGGGAATGCACAGAGTAGCCGCCTCAGAAATGTGGAGCTTATGAAAGTTGGTGAATATGACATGTATGGTTTTCAAGACTTCTTCATTGATGGTTGTGATGGAAGACAATTCTCTCTCTAGTGCCCCTGCAGGATGATGCAATGAAAGAAACTCAATATTAAAAACAAGTTACAGAAATAAAATTTACATTATTCACTACAATCTATGAAGCATGGATACAGATATGGGATATCGATATGGTGATAAGCAAGGTTCTGAAAAGCGGTTGCGGTCGCCGTAACGGTCGGTGGCGGTGACGCGGTTGCGGTTGCGGAGTGTAAAGGCCGTGGTGTAACGGTTGCGGTAACCGGAACCGTGAATTTTTTTATTTTTTGCACAATTTGAAAAAAACTTACCGATACGCATATTTTTTTTCCATGATCATATTTATTGGATTAAAAATAAATATTGATCAATTTTTGTAAATTTTTAAGTATGATGCAATATATTTCATATTTTTAAATCACTATAAACTGAGTTTTTTACATTTTATTTTAATAATTAATGACTTTATATTATACAAAAAATCAATCACCAACTTATATATAAGATAAACAATGACAAAAGTAAGACCTGAGCAGAGTCTATAAATAGAGAGGTTATAAAATTGTTGTAGATAGAGTGGGAAAAAATGTAATCACCAAACATGGGAGATACAAAGCCACCTACAGTCAGGGAGATTGGATTCTAAGTGAGTTTGAGAGTTACAAAGAGTTGCTCTGTTCAAAGGGCTAAACGCACAAACAAAATGGTTTAGTGATAGCAGCTGAATAGAATAGCATAGGTCTTACAGTTTCAACAAATCAATAACATGTTCTTCATCTTCCCTCTTCTCTCTCTATCTCTTACTTCTCCATTTTCTCTCTTTATCTTCTCTCTTCTCCCTATCCCTCTTCCCCCATTTTTAGCTTTTTTTGTGTGTTTTTTCGGAAGAAACAGTTTGGAACCGTTACGTAACGGTGCGTAACAGGCCGTTACGGCTGTTACGGCACTGTTACGACCGCTACGGCAGCCGCTATGACCGACACACCTGTGAATCTCAATCACACTGCAAAAGCGGCCGTAACGGGTGGCGGTAACCGCCAAAACCGTTACGTAACGGCGTTACGTAACGGTTGCGGCCGCTTTTTAAAACCTTGATGATAAGAAAAAACCTTTAAAATAGGATGGGTATGACTAGAATACGTTGGAAAAAAATTTATAATTTTTAGTATTCTATAATACATGAGTTCAAAGAATGGTTTCTCACTCGTAGTCAGCTTAAGAAGTAGTCAGTATACCTTCTTTCCAGTGAGACCTATAAAAATTTCATTATAATGTCAAGTGTAAACTGTTTATAATTCCCTTGTTCTTTCTCTTTTCATGCTTAAAAATGTAACGTGCAAAAGTATCATATGCAAGTTCGCTTGCTTATTTAATTGTCAAAATCCGATTTAAGTATCATTATACTATTTTTTATATATCCTTAGTTTCTGCAAAGTATGAATATGGAAACGAGACACATGCATGACACATTAAGGATTCGTTGATTCAATAAATTCTGAAAAAATAGGATACTACTCTAATCTCACTATTTTCTTCTTTGGTATACAAAAACAGACAAAATAAAGCTTTTAAGTGCAGTTATACATTCAATTGCTCAACACAGTAAATATAATGTGTCTAGTAATAACACACAAACCATTCTTTGGACTGTTTCAACTCCAACTCACCACTTACTAGATTCCAATACTGTGATCCAAATGCTAATGAAGACCTATAGTGTTAGTTAATGTAGTCCTAATTTATAGAAAATAAGCATTTATAAGGTCTCTGAGTCTCTGGAAAAAAACCTAGCATCTCACTAATTAAGGTACACTGGATTGTGTAAGAACAAACTCAACCTTATTATTTCCCAAATAACCATATATTGAAGAAACTTATCTATGCAGTGATGGAAACTGAAGTTGAACATATGTTGATTCAGATGCCAATGATATATGAACATACATTCCTTGTTGAATATATATACCACGCATGGGACGTGAAAATCGCAATACTAAATATCAGGAAATATAGTAACAAAGGATTGAACTGTTTCGTTGGTAGCTTACCTGTCAAAGCTCCGATAAGATCATTTGATACATATTCTTGAAGTGTGTGATTTGAAAACAAAAATTTGATGAGCGATGCTGCCTGCCCAGCAACCTCTGAATTAGGAGAAAGAATCAGTTCCTGAAGTACCAATATGCCCCCTGCTTCAGCAACAGCTCGCCTATTAGTTCTACTGTGCATGACGAAGTTTTGCAATGCACAAATGGCCACCATTTTCATTTCCTCCGTTGGCTGATCTTCAAGCAAACTTATCAATGCACGACATGCAGAGGCAGAATCACTGGCTCTAGCAAGTCCTTCATGCTGGGAGAGGTCACCAAGAGCAAGAGCTGCAAGAAGTTTGCCGGACTCTGATCTAGTTTGTGGGTCTAAGAGATATTGTGCTAAAGGTGCTATTGCATACTTGGAAACCTTCATTTCTCGTACCCTCGTATGGTTGAATAAAGCTTCGAGTAGTCTTCCAGACGCTTCTTCACACTGGTGAGATCTTAATAAGTCTAACAGAGCATCTATTGCACCTGCTTCAGTCATCATTTCAGCACTCGAAGCAATAGTTGATTCTTGAACAATCAATGCGTTAAGAGCTATTGTTATAGTACTATCTACTGTTGAATGCAACATCTTCACAAGAACAATCAGTGGTACTTTAAAATAGTAGTCAGCATTTGAATTTAGAACATTGGACAGAACCAGTGCAGCCGATTCCCACAAAGCATGGGGTGGTTGGGGGTCATCTTGAACAATAACCTTTGAAATCTCAAATATACCCCCGGCATCAGCAACTGCCTTCGGCCAGCTTAAAGAGAGATTATCCAACGCCTTAATTGCTGTTTGCTGCAAGTTCAATATTCCGATTCCCGCAAGTTGCACAAGGGGCACAACTGCATTTTTTGTTGTTATATCTTCCTTAAAGTGCTCTTGTGCAAGAAGATGACTCAGCAATTCTGAGCCAAGTTGCTGGATAGCTTGAGATGGTGATTCCAGAAACGAAATCAGAGGCTCAATGACCTGGCTAGGAGTAAGTTTTAAAGTTGCAAGGCTCTGTGGTTTCTCCAAAATATTGACTAGTGTTTGCAATGCACTGTGCTGGCCCCAGAGACTAATATCTGGACGAAGCAAAACCAAAAAAAGAGGTTCGACAATTTTTGCAGCAGCTGAGCTTTTAGAAATTGCACTACTATTTGTCAAGATGCGGAAAAGTTCAGCAATCGAGGAGCACAATGCACTGGGTGCTGTTGGAAGTAGCTCAAGACAGTTATCGATAATGCCAGCTTTGACCATATCTAACTTGCAGGTTGTCCGGTCTTTCCCCAACTTAATGAGAGCACAGACGCTAGCCTCAATAAGCCGATTATTTGATCCAGAAACCAAACTGACAAGAAGATTGACAACATCATTAGCTGCTGCAAACTCCACTTGCTGTTCATGATCCAATAATTTCTCAAAAGCGCAAACACCAGATTCCACTGCCATACCCATATCAGATTGAATCAGTGATATAAGAGGCACGATGCATTCAGAGGCAATTGGCATTTCTCTGAGTTTTGGATTACCAAAAAGAACAAAACAGAGCTGTGCAGCATTTGTCTTCAGTTCCAAGGAAGAAGTGGAAGACAAAATTTTATATAGGCTCTCGAGGGGATTCCCTTCCACATCAGTCATCAGAACAGCTTTCGAAGGATTTTCCGAAGTCAACTTAATCAAGCCGATAAGTGCAGCACATTGCTCAGTTTCTGATGCAGCTTCAAGCATGTCAACCAAGGGCTGAACTGCTTGCTTGGCTAATTCAGAATCTCTAATGCTCTCAGCCTCAAAAAGTTCATGAAGAGCCCTAGCAGCACTCAGTCTTGAACTTCTCGACCCCAAACGCAGAACAGCTATGAGCTGATTCAAGGAACTAATAGATGCTTCATAACAAAGAATATCAGGATTGCTAAATAATATTCTCAACAGTTCAGCTATAGTTGCCTCAGTTGAGTCTTGAGGGCTCAACGATAGGTACTTTGTTAAAGCATCCAGAGCTCCAGCTTCAGCCATAATTAGTTTGTTTGTATCACTACCATCTGCAATATGAGTCAAGAGGTGAACAGCAATTTGAGGGGCACCTGGTCTATCTGGCATTGGTCTCAAAAGATCCACTAATAAAGGGATAGTTTTGCGTGCAGTGGAACCACCTCTCACATCTTCAATTTCAAAAAGGAGTTCCAGAACTACTTGTTCAGGATTCCTTACAAGAGAAAATTCTTCAGATAGAGCAGCAAGGTTTGGCATATCTGATTCTATGTAACCAATTAGGGTTATTAACCCAGCAACTGCACCCGAATTTGCAATTGCAAGATTTATTCCCTTGCTTCCATTTGAAACAAGACTAGCCATTGCTTGGGCAGCAAAAAACCTGTCAATTATTTCTTCAGACCTCAGCAAAAGGGCAAGCGAGGGTATGATGCGCATCGTTGCAGGAGAGGCAACAACATTTGCATCTTGAAATAATATAGCCAGGAGTAAGGCACTAATCCATATGCCTTCAGTATCCTCAAATGCCGCCTGTGAATGAAGAAAATATTTTGTCTCAGCTACCAAGTCTAGGCGCGCACACTCTAAACATATGAATTTAGTATGTGCATGCAAACCATCCAACAATTGAGGCTGAACGAAGAAAAAATATCAAAGAATTTTATATAGCCTGTGATCAACAAACCAACACGCTCCATCATTGGCCATACAATGAAAAATGTAAAACGTAAAAAGAAAGGTAACTTCCAAAAGTTCTGAGGCCGCACTTGTTTACGGTATTATTACAATATCCGCTAAAAGTGGAACAAGGCACTGAAAATGTCCTTCTTTCACCTAAGTATAGATAGTACAGTAAGCCAACACCAGTTCAGGTAATAAAGCCGGAAAGCACTGGACATGTCGATCCCTCTATTTCTTTTACTCCCAATTTCAGTTAAACCCCAAAACATTTCAAACCTATCAACATAACTTCTGTTAGTCGACTCAACAGACTCAACCCAAACACATCCCACCACCAATCTACAACTATAATTTGCCAAGGAAATTATAATCCGAAATTGTAAAATGAATTGAAAGACGGCAGACAGACATCAAGGAAAAAAAGGAGAAAATAAAACAAAAAATACAACTTACCAGTTAAACTTTTAGTTTTAGACTGTAAACAAACTAGCCGCTGCACAAAAGTCAGTTTTATCTCAGTACAGGTCATGCTGACCACCACAAAATCTCTCATATATCTATTTAATCTAAAAGTGGGAGTTATTCGTAATATACTTTAATTTAATATGTATCAAATTTAAATCTGCCTTTATAGAGTAGCAATGAGGTCCACAAAATTGTTTACCATAGGCTATTGGTGGTCATCTCATTGAACTGTTAGCCACAACAAAGAATGAAAGAAAAGGTGAAACAGCCAACATTACTAAAGACTAGATCAAGCCCTACCTGTGGATTCGAAGTATAATTTGCAAGCTTGTCAGAAAGGGCATCAAGTGCCCCAGCTTCTGCTACAGCAAGTTTGTTCTTCGCATGAAATGAAGAAATTATTGATAGCAACCACAAAGCAACAGTACCTCCCAAGACAGTGGCTGGATCAGGAACCTCGAAGGCATCTCCTTCCTGAAAAGCAGTTCTTTCGACAAAACCTCTAGGAGTTCTGGCTTCAATTTCTGAAGAGAAACTACTTGAATTTCGCTTCATCATATCTAGTACTGCATATATCAGGGGTTCTAAATATCCTGAACCTTCTAGTGCATCCATTGACTGAATTTTGTGTTCTTTAGCAGCACAGATGAGCAATGCAGCTCCTCCAACTCTAACCTCTAAACTGGTGGAGTTCATTATTCTATTGGCCAGTCCACCAATGGATCCTGATATTGAAACCAACAGGTCACCTAATGTAACTGATTGATCCCCACAAAGCCTAGACAGAATTTCTATAGCCTTATCTTCCACCAAAGGTGGCCCCTCGGCCAGGCAGCGTACAAGACTCACCAAACTTGAGGGAACTTCAGCAAGGGCAGACGATGGAGAGTAAGTGAAGTTCACACTTCGTTTTGTCCTTGTCAGTAGGGCAACTACTTCTAAGGCATCAGTAGCGTCAGTCCCATCCATATCCATCGCATTTAAGGAATCCACAACAGAAAGAACAGCAAATCGGCACTGAGCATTACCCTTGAGAACATCACCTACTGGAAAATGCTTCAGTAATTGGTGAAGGGCACGTGACGCATTCTTCTTACCTTCTGAAGTTCCTCCCCCCATTACTCTAGTCAAAGCAGAAACAACATCTTCTGCCAGTGCTTCTGCAGCAATCTGGGGATCAGACAGAAGATTGGCCAATGCTGCCACTGCAGTCTCGGCAGCATCAATGGAAGAAGTTTTTGCCAATTTGACCAGAGGCTTGACATCTCCTTCTGCAATGTATGACATTTTGTTGCTAGATTTTGTCTTGGTTGGACGGGACAAAGCACCCAAGGCTCGAGCTGACTGTGCCGCAATAACTTCAGTGTTGCTGGTCAAAAGCTTCGTGCATGGATTCAAGACTTCGTCAGTTGCAAAACTGTCGCAAATATCTTGTCTGGTGCTGAATAGATCAGCTAGGACAGAAGCTGCATGCTCTTGGGTTTCTTCATTAGAGGAATTGAGAACCCGGACAAGTGACCTCAGTCCTTTATTAGCTGCAGCTCCGTTCTGCACAAGATCACTTTGTGATGCCATAGTGAGTACATGACCCAAAACTTTAATTACGTGGGCCTTTGAGCATGGAGAATCTCCCAGGAGCAAAGCTAGCAACTGATTAATGGCAGCAGGATCAGCTCTTTGAATAAGCTTTGTTAGTGCTTTAGCTGAGGCTTCCTGACCCTTTGGTCCACCACTATTTAGAAGCCATAAGAATGCCGGAACAGCTCCAGCACTTTCAACACAGGCACGAATATCCTCACTGTGACAGCACAAATTCCACAGAAGATGTGCTGCGTTCTCCCTTGCCTTCTGGGATCCCATCTCTAATAATTGTACCAGTGGAGGAATCCCCCCAGCTGCTGTGATTGCCCACTTACTGTCCTCAACTTGGTCAGTCAGGATTGCCAACAACTCAACAGCATACTCCTGATGCTGTTCACTGGATAAGCCTAGCAATGATATCAGTAACTGAATTCCTTCTCTCCTTCCAATGGCCTCCCAGATACCCACCCTATCACAGCATAAGCTTATTACAGAGAGTATCAGGTCCTGTTGCACATCAGCAGCAGCCATTGTTGTAAGTCCAATAAGCACCTTCTTTGCTTCTGCTTGGTTGAGCCATCTTGAGAGATATGTGTTGCCATAAAGGCTGGCCATGGCCTCAAGGACACGCTCCTGGACCAGCTTATTGTCGCAGGGCTTTAGTAGCATTACTAGAATGTCCTCTATCTGTGTTGCATTAAATGTTTCTTCTTCAACACCACATTTTTGCTCAAAGACCATCAGAGAGTAGGCTAGTGCTCCAATTATGTCAGCAACAGGAGCAGCTAAGCGCGGGGACTGTGAAATTTCTCCAAGATATAGTATTAGAGAAGACATTCCACCACATATATTAGCTAAAGCTCGCGTTGCATGCCCCTGAAGGGACTGACCACCCTTCCCTTGCATACACTCTTTAGAAGGAGCAACTACAGCTCCAATGAGAACAGGCACACCATCTGCATCAACAACAGCTTTCTTAGCCTTGGTTGACCCTGACGAAAGAGCCTCCAAAGCATCCGCAGCACTGGCACGGACAGAAATATCGTTTTCCTGACGCACAAGTTGAAGCAAAGTTTTGACGGCTCCGGAATCTATTGCTTTGGGGATGCTATCACTGAATGCCAACATCAGACGGGCTAGTAAAGAAGCTGCATTGGATTGAGAGGCAACATTGTCTGAAGAAAGAAGCCCCACAATAATATCTACTCCTCCGGCCTCAAGTGTTGCTCTCCAATACCCATCTTTGTCGCTGCAAAGATTTCTCAGAGCCCCGGTAACAAAACGTTCTACCACTTTGTCCTTCCTGTTTTTTGCATTCAGCTGCTCCCATAAGGTTGGCACTACACTTTCTGTAACAAATATTTTCATACCCACATGATCGTCTGAAAGTCCACCTGATGAAACTTCATATATTGCTTCTGCGGCTGCTTTCCTTGCTTCAGTTGACTCTGACTTCAAAAGTGAAAGTAATGGCGGTATGCATCCACCTAGAAGTACCTTCAACCGCAAATCATCATCCTTGCAAAGGACACTCAGTGTTGCAGCAACGTTTCCTTTTGCCACATGAGTGCCACTCCTAAGAATTGATATGAACAATGGCATTGCTTGAGCATGTGAACCGATAAGAGTCCGTGCTTCCTTTCTAGCTTTGGCAATACCAAGCAAACGTGCTGTAATAAGTTCCTTTTCTTGCGGTGAAGACATGCTAGCATGTAGCTGCTCAACAAAACGAGCAACTGTTGCCATTGCTTTCTCCGGATCATCCATATCTATTGTTCCATTTGAATCCCTGCAAAGTAAACAGTAAATCTACTAGTCAAGATTTAGCATATAATGCCCCCCCAAGAAAAAAAAAGATCCATTTAAAGGGTATATAGAAATATTTTTTTTGATTTTCATGAGAACTTAGTGGATATTAGGGACCATCTGTTTTCCCCTGTCTATTCTTATTTATACATTTATATATGCATCCCACCCCTTTTTGAGCAAGTGTTATATGACTCTATTCTTCAGTAAACAAGTGCAGCTGATAGGTAAATTCACCAGGAAAAAAAATTCCCATAAGGTAGAACAATATAAACTCTAATATGTTGTCACCGATCAAGCTAAGAGAGAAACACTAACCTAGGCTGTGAAGTAGACGAGGATATGGGCTCCCTCGGTTCAGGAGAGGGAGACTTTGACATTTGCACGAAGACACCACTTCAGTGTTCTCCTTTGGCCTCCTGTGCATTGAGGTAGTAATGAATTTTACTAAATGAACATTAAATTACAAAGACTACAGAGGATGTAAGAACAACAACACAAGATTGTTTTCCAAATTATGTTTGCAAAATATCCAAAATCCCAATCTGACCAAGTTTCAAATTATAATATTTGTATTGCCAAATTCTAAGTACAAACATATTAACAAAATTTACAGAATTGGGGTACAATTAAAGGCAAATCCATTCAAACCCAATTCAAATTTGACAAAAAATCGCTGAAATTGACCACTCATCACTACTACTAAGAGACGAAATTCCTAAAATGTGGCCATATAGGGAAATCAAAACCAAGAACATAGATTACCTTAAACGATTAATGCATATGCTGGAGGTATGCAAACAACACCCCCTTCAATTCATCTCCACTGAATCAAATACATACACACACCAAAGAAGCACTACAGACAAAATTGAGCTCGACCCAGTTCACTTCGCTTACAATTGAGATCAATCAGACACTCTGCACAGTATGAAAAGGCAAGAAGATCAAAATCAAGTGAAAAACAGATCTTCTTCATATATACTCTCAATATATGTGTGTATAATAATATTAAATTAGCTATCAATGATGAGATTTAATTTGTATAACAAAACAGATAAAGAAGGTACGGAGATCAGATCAGAAATAGCATTAACAGATTCTAGGGCTAACAGAGGTGTCATTTTCCGACTAAAAAATTCAAAAAAATTAAATTAAATTCAAAAAAATGAAAAAAAAAAAAAAAAACCTCGATATTTTTACAAGAACACGTAGATTAGATCTCCGTTCGGAATTCGGAGGATGAGGGAGATAACGAGAATTTGGGGTTTCGGTTGTGCTGTGTGTGTGTCTGTCTCTCTTCATTTTCAATTTTTTATTTTGATTTTGGGATTTTTAAGAGTGAGGAGAGTGAGTGTCGGGGGGGAAGGGGGAGTGATTCAGTGTGGGAGGGAGGTGTGAATCGTAGTCAAAACCAAATAGGGGCTGTTACTGTTGTTTTTAACTGATTTTCTTGGGATTCGTGTTTTGTTTTTGTTACTTCCAGTTAAGTTTTTCATAAGCTTTCTCGAAAAAGACATAATCATAATTCCCTGGATATTGACAAAATAAATTATATATATATTTTTTGGTAAATGACAAAATACTTCCCAGAAGTAGACATGCATATATGGTTTTTTTACTAAGGCCAAGTTTGGGAAGACTAAGGGCTAGTTTGGCATGTATTAAATAAGTTAAAAAGTCAAAAAGTCACTATCTTATTTAAGTCACATCATCTTATTTAAATCACATCACCTCTCTAACACATCACATCAAACCCAACCCAAACCCAACCCAAACCCACCAATAAGTCAAAAAATGCACTTTTTTAGGACATCCCAAACCAACCCTAAATAAGTACATTTTTTGTCTTTTTAGATTAAAAAATTGAGGTTGAAAATATGGATGTTTGGGTTAACTTTTTGACTTTTTATGAAAAAATGTGTAATAAAAAATTGTAAAAAATTGATTTGTAGGAGAAAATTAGGATTAGGAGTTGTTCAGCCGTAATTGTTGACTTTTGGTGAATAGTGTTAACTTTTTAACTTTTTGAGTAACTTTTTGGCTTTTTGGCTTTTTTGGAACTTCCCAAACTTGGCCTAAATCATGTTGTTTTTTAAATATATTTTCTAAATTCAAGTAATTTGACACTATTAGGTAAATTCTTTTTTTTTTTTAATTTATGAAATCGTGTTTTGAATATAGATTGTTTATTTTTTAATCAAATTAACTTATTTTTTATTAATAATTTACACATTAGGGATTATCATTTAGAAAAAATTAGTCTAAAATCCTTGTCCCATTTTTAGTAATAGAAAAGGTTCACAATATTATTTTGTGATGTCTAAGATCTCTTAACCCAACACCTATATATCACAAAAAAATTTCACATACCAGAGAGTTACTCTCCCCTATGTGCCTCTCTCTCTCTCTAACACATACACACACACACTCTCTCTCTCTACAGACTATGTTGATCCTTTCTTCTTGCCTCACAAATACGTCTTCTCTACCACAGCTAGGGTTTCTCCGTCATCTTCAGTCTTCTTATCTTCCAAGCTCAACTTGATGTCTTGCTCGTTGCCTTTTCGATAGAGCATTCGCAAGTTTCTATGCTTCTTGCTGTTTTTCAAAGGCTAAAGGAATGGTGGAGATGGTGCAGGACAAGGAGTCTGCGGTGCTCGTCGCCACCTCCAGCTTTGCGGCGGACCTTGGCCGAAAATAATTGATAAGTATGTGAAGAATCGTTGTTAAAGTTGCACAGATTGTTACATGAGAGTTTATAGATTGTGTTCGAAGATAGATTCGTAATGGGTGAAGAATAGACTAAGAGGTCTAGAAGTGAATACAGAAGGTATGATTGGGCTTTTGAAGCTATAGACTCATCTTGACCACAAAAAAGTAGAATTGTCTTCATGAGTTTTTTTGGATTTAATTATATGGATGATTCTCTGTTCTTTCATCTCATATTTCTCTACAATTAATTGGGTTTCTATCATCCCTCTATTTTTTCCCCATCCAAACTATAATCTTGATTTTTCTTGTTCTTGGCAAAGAAATTTTCTGGTTTAAACCCAGAAAAATTCTTGCCAAAACTAGAGAAATTCTCCTTTCAGCGAGTCTCTCTCTCTCTCTCTCTTTCTCTCTCTCTCTCTCTCTCTCTCTCTCTTTATATATATGTGTGTGTGTGTATTGGTTATTGTTGTTGTTGCTTATTTAGGTAATCGATTTGTGTATTGCACATCATGATTGGGAAGACAGAGAAATTTCCTAGTTTGAACCCAGAGAAATTCTCTGGAAATCCAGTGAAAATCTCTAAATTGGAATTTAGAGAATTTCTCTAGCCTTTACAAAATTTCTTTGGAAATAAATTCTCTAGGAAGTCTAGAGAAATCAAGTGATGATAAGGTATTAGAGCTTGGTGATTTTCTCTAGGAAGAAATTCGGAGAGTGGGAAGTCCAAAGAAAATTTCTTTGGAGAGAATTTCTCTAGGAATTCTAGAGAAATTCTCTGAATCGAATTTTCTTTAGATTGATGTTAAAGGGCCTTAGACATTATGAAAATATTGAATATTCATTATGCTATAAAATCTTAATATCAGCGACCTTAAAAAAAATCCCCAATCATTTAACTCGAAAAGCTTGTAATTCGATTAAGTCTTGTCCATAAACCCATGCCTCTGATGGGTAAGGTTAGCTCAAATAAGGTTGGGTTAGGCTTGGGCCCAAGTGTTGAAACTCAGCTCTTTAGCTCGCAAAAGGTGACTCATGCAAGTCTAACAAATAAATAAATAAATAAATAATTAAGAAAAAAAATTCAAAAGTAAACCTAAAGCTCAGTTCAATTGGCTTCACTTGTGACCTAATTCGTGAACTTGCCTAGGCCAAGCTTGTTAGACAGCGTTTAGCCATGAATAGATTTGGACACCATTTCATGGGGCAAGTTCAAATCAAAGTTGATCCAATGCCAACTCTTAGACATAATGGTGTGTTCGGTTTGTGTTTGAAATCAGTTTTTGAGAAGAAAAAAAAGTATAAAAACGTGTTTGGTTGGGTTTTTGTTGAAATATTCTCTGGAAAACAAGTTTTCAACTTTGTTCTCGTGAGAATCACTCAAACTCACCTTTACCTTGTTTCCAAGAGAATCCACTCACCTTTATCTTCTGTTCTTTACTTCTCTCTCTCACCTCCATTTCTGTTCGAAAATTTTGCTCACCAATCCAACAGCTCTCTCTCTCTCTTTCTTTGAAGGAAAAAGATTGAGACCCATAGGGCAAGACACCTACCTCAAAGGTTTTTCTAGGAGACCCATTTCTCTCACCTCCATTATTACTCAGTCGAAGATTTGAAAAATCTCTTGCGTAGAGCTGCTACTCTGTCCCAGATTTCTGGTTGCAACAATAGTCATCTCTGTAATTCATCTCTGTCTCACAGAGGGTAGAGGCAATAAGGGTCATCTCTTTTCACAATAACTTTTCTCCTTCACAGATTTCCTCCAAATGTTGCCCTAACTTCTGTATCAGTCAAAGAAATTTATCAAAAAATCTGAAGTAGTAACATCAATGTCCGTCATCTGTTTATAAAGCTCCATAAAATGCAAAGTGCCTAGCTTCAAACCCCACCAAGACAAAGCACAATGGCATTCTTCGCAGAAAAAATAGAGAGACCGTGCACAGGCGTTCAGTGTGGACGGTGGGATTTGCGAGCCACCAAAACCCGCCAAGCAAGAGATAGAACTATTGGCTATTTATTTTTCTTTACAAACTTCCCAATCTCAAATTTTCTCTCTTGAGCATGTTTGCATCTGTATTCGTTGTTTGAAGAAATTTTGATTACAAATTTCTCAATCTGTAGATTTTTGTTTTTTAGATTTTTATTAAATTTAAAATTAAAAAAAAAAAAAAAAACTTTTACCAAACAGGACCCATCACTTTGCAAAGCACACCTAGTCAAGTGCCTCGTATTGGCAGGAAGTGGTTGTTTTGGGCTTCTTGTGGATGTAACGCATTTCTTTGCTTTACTATTATCATCTTTGTATTGGTACTTTTCATTATGGTTATACTTAAATAAGATGATCGTAGGTGTGGTTGCAAACAATGGTTGTACTTGAATTTTTATTATGTTAGTTATTATATGGGTACTTTTTATCTACTAGGTTTTTTTTTTTTTGATAAACCATGTGATACTTATTATATTGGCCAGTATTGTATTTGGAAAAATATGTCAATTACATATAAAATATGCTTACAATAAATATGAAAATCATGTAAAAAAAAAAAAAAAATTGCGTATAAAAATGGAAAAACCCCCTTTTCTCATTTTCTCAGTTTTTTTTTTTTTTTAAATAGGGGGAGGGGGTTCCTACCAATCTTGAACGAATATTGTATTTGGAAAAATATGTTAATTACATAAAATATGGCACTATTTCATTTGGGAAAAATATGTTAATTACATATAAAATATGAAAATGATGTTTTAAAAATGGAAAAATCCAATTAAAAAATAAAAATGATTTTTTTTTTTTTTTTTTTGCATTTAGGAATATTTTTTTTTATAAATTCAAGGTGTTTTCAAAATGTGTTTGCAAACATGTTTCAAAACTTGTCCTAGAAAAAGTCAAACCAAACACATTTCTGAGAGTTTTTTTTTTTTGAAAATCTATTTAGTTTGATTACTTTCAAATATGTGTTTGTAGGGCATATTTCAAAAAAAAAATCTCAAATCTAAACCAAACAAGGCCAATAATTTATAAAATAAACTATTCAAATTATTAAGGTGAGGCTGTAATTGGCCCACAAATTTGAACAGAATGTCTTCATCAGTCCACTATTTATGGATTGAAGAAAAGTCATACTCCAAGATATTAAGTTTTTATTTATGGATTGAAGAAAAGTCATACTCCAAGATATTAATTTTTATCAAGTTATGTAATTGATTGGTTGTAACATTGATGTTTTTATAAAAAAAACCAAATAAATAGAGAGAGTGGGGTAGGATGGATTAGGAAGGAAAGTAAGCAGACACATCGATACAATATGAAACTATTAGTAGGATTCAAAATCAAAAGGGTGAGTTTTCAAAAAAAAAAAAAAATTTTGGATTTGAGAGAAAGCTGGTTGTAAATAATAAAAAAACAAAATGCTAAAGGCCCAATGCAAGTGAAATTAGTAAAAGTTAGAAAGGTAAAAGTGTAATTTATGCTATAATGCCTAAATTTATAAAAGTGAGTGACAAAGCACTACATATTGAAAACATTGAAATATGAATGGAATTTTAACAACTTAATTATTACCATTAACATAGGTTTTAAAGATAAAGATTAAAAAATGAAATAATTTTTTATGGACAAATATTTTGGTTGCCAAAAATATTATTGTTGTAGTTTTAGCGACAAAATTAGACATTT